ATATTGTTAGATACATTTGTTTCAAACTATATTGGTTCTCATCAGTACGATGCATGTACTACTGATTATTATTTTCTGCGAAAATTTAAATACTGATAGTATGAGTAACAAATATCAGTAGAAACGTAGACATATGTATCTACCATTACTTAAAAAGAAACTTAATATTCATTAAAAAATCCAAAAATCCGTTTTTTGTTGTCTACTATTCGACATACAAGTGAAGTTTTGACAAAATGAAGTATTATGTGAAGTACTTACACAACCAGTATTTGAATCTACTTCATCCGGCACCTAGATAAATGATGATCCGGCATGGTATCAATAACAATAACAGTACTAGTACTTGCAGTGGTATTTAGAGATGGCAATTTGGAATAAGTATATTTTGGTTTTTTAAATGGTGGTTTTGTAAAATCATCTAACATTGATGTTTGGCATTTATTAATTTCGGCATTTTCTAATGTTTCATATGCATATGACTAAATAAATAAGACTCGTGAAAAGGATAGGAAGAGCAGAATCATGAATGTACGAGCGCCACCTCACAATGGGCCTGGAAAACACGCCATCGTTAGCACTGTTTATGTATCGAAAACTGTAATACTAACTTGAACAGAAAACTAATATTGTTATTAGAACCTATAGAGTTCGCTGAAAAAAATTAAAAATTTTATGATATTACATGTATTCTTTCGTGCGGAAGCTGAACAAACTCGTTGCAATCGGTAACTAGCCAATCATAATACAGCATTTTTAAAATTCTTAATCATGATTGATTATTTACTGTTGATTTCAATCACTTTGTTCAATACGAAAGTATACGTGTATTGAAAATTAGGTCACAAAGGGGATGTGTTCTGTGGATTAGGTTTGAGGTTATTTCTTCTCTATGTTGTATTCCTAGATAAATGATACTATAGATAGGAAACTTGAACAGATTTCGTGGTCATCAACAGCGCTAACTGTTGACATTTTCTCCAACTTCTATTGCTTTCCTTTTCTAGGAATTATCGGTAATACAGTGAGTTAAATTACCTGTAGCCGGTAAAAGATGCAAGCGCCATCTAGTTGTACGCTCTACAACTATATACCTACCTACTCAATATTTGTTTTAGGTATTCTGCCGCCGCTAAATTTAAAATTACATAACAAATCTCACCCTACACAGATCACTCAGAAATTGATTTTGTAAAATAATTTTCACGTAGATAATTTTTTTTGTCACCATGAGAAAATAAGTACATTTGATAAAAAGCATTAAAATCACTCAAGCATTAAAGACACTTTTAAATGCTCTAATAGTCTTCCTACTTAAAATAAGAAATAATTTTGATACTGTAACTTTTTAAAATGTTTGTTGAAAAAATTTCAAATTTCAGTACATATTTTGAAAAAAAAAGAGTGAAAATGATTATAGAGTTTCAGTGCTTTCTATATTGTATTAGCTTTCACGGTGAATAAAAAAATATTACAAGTAAATAATTTTACTAAACCAATCTTTGATTAATTCTTGTAATAGAGATTTATTATGCAACTTTAAATTTTTCGTTGTGTTGATATCCATAAAAAAAACTACCTACCTCTGATCACATTTTTTATTAAAAAAAAAAAAAAAAAAAACATTTTATTATTAATAAAAAAATGTGATTATATGATGATCAGACATTATTATGTTATATAAATAAATGTGAATGAAATATCTAATAAAACACACTAAAAACACAAATAAAACACACACCAACACTCGCCAAACCTAACCAACAATAAACATGAACAACAAGAATGACATGAAATGATTCATAATTGCAATTGTCAAAATTTATTCTACAAAATCTTTGTGGCGACATCTATAGACTCTTTCCCCAACTTATATATCCATCTCAAGTCACGTGGTTCCCAGTGTCCCCATATTTTCAAGTATAAGTTCTCGGGCCCTGGTTGTATTCACAGATTAGAAAGTGGTTTTATTATGACTAATTAACTCGTAAGTTACCGTGCTTTTCATAATAATTGTTTTCTATTTTAGACTAAAATTTAATGTAATGCAAGAAGATAATTATAATTGTTGAATCGTTCATCCGAATTGTCTTACTGCTTTTGCTTGTTTTACTTTTTTATAGAAAATGTCTGGAATGATCTCACGTTACTGTTGTGCACCAAACTGCAAGAATACATATTATTTATATACCACAGATACTTCTTACAGAAATAAAAGCTTTTTCAGAGTTACTGCAGAGTGCAGACAGGAAAATGATTTGGATAGAATGTAAACCAGATTTTAACTTCATCAACGAAAAATGTTATTTTTGCGAAGACCACTTTGAATTAAAATGTTTTAGAAATAGTAGGAAGAATAGCCTCAACAAAAATGCAGTGCCAACAATATTTAGTGAATCAAATAGTATATCATCACATTTAGATTCTCTTAATAGTAACGTTTACTTGAAAACTACTCTAGAGTCAGTTAAACAGTTTGTTAGTGAAACATTAGAAAATGCCGAAATTAATAAATGCCAAACATCAATGTTAGATGATTTTCCAGAACCACCATTTAAAAAACCAAAATACACTTATTCCAAATTGCCATCTCTAAATACCACTGCAAGTACTAGTACTGTTATTGTTAACGATACCATGCCGGATCATCATTTATCTAGGTGCCGGATGAAGTAGATTCAAATACTGGTTGTGTAAGTACTTCACATAATACTTCATTTTGTCAAAACTTCACTTGTATGTCGAATAGTAGACAACAAAAAACGGATTTTTGGATTTTTTAATGAATATTAAGTTTCTTTTTAAGTAATGGTAGATACATATGTCTACGTTTCTACTGATATTTATTACTCATACTATCAGTATTTAAATTTTCGCAGAAATTAATAATCAGTAGTACATGCATCGTACTGATGAGAACCAATATAGTTTGAAACAAATGTATCTAACAATATTTTTCATAAAGAGGGGAAAGGTAAGTATATGTCTATTTTGTATCACAGTAATCACTATATTACTAGTAATTATCTTCTTTTCCTATTTATAACAGAATAAATTTAAGTACATGCATTTAAAAAACAACTGCTTATGCATTTTTTAGTCATTGTTTAAAAAGTGAAAACAATAATAGCCTCTTAATGGATATACCTACTAAAAAAGTCAATCTTTTATACCATTATTGTGTGTAACTTACATGAAATGAAATTCATGTCATTGACTGCATAATTTTGTAAAAAAAAAATCTGATCAATTTTTACATTAGAACTGATATTTTTTTACAAAGCTTTGTAGTCAATGTATATGAATTTTATTCCATATATAAGTTGCACTCTGAATATTATGGTATATTTAAATTTGCCGCCAAGTGCAGCGTAATAAAGCGACATCTATTGCATAGTTTTTGAACTACATTCTCAAATAAAGACGGCTAACACGGTCACTGCAGTTTCTGTTTTGTGTTCCAGCTGCTATTTGTTCACAGGCCGGATGTAAGATGGCGCCAGTTGCGTCTGGAACAAGTGATGCTTCCAATGAAAGACAAGGAAATAAACACTCTTATTTAGTTACTCATATGGTCATATGAGATACGGCCAGTAGTGATGGGAAGTTTCGATAATTTTGTGGACTCATTCATTCCAGGTTCAATCCACACACGGAACGAGTCCGGCGGATTCGTTCCTCGGAATGAGATTGAATAGAGGCAACACGCAGTACAGAGCTGAGTGAGCAGCGCGCTATATAAATTCAATTCTTCAGCAACGGATTGATATGAACAGCTGGTTATTAGATATTAGATACTCGACGCTTGATATTTAAATGGATATTCTTCAAAATTTGTTCTTCTATATGATTATTATGCCATTGATGATACTTAAAATAATCCTACATAGGTACTTTAAAAAAGAGTACCTACAAAGTTAATACCTAAATGCAAATAAATAAAAAAATAATTATTTAAAAATGATTATATTTACATTTAGTAAATATAAATAAGTACTTATTGGCAAAATATATAATTAAAATAAAGTAAAATGAAAATAAATTCTGATACGTAAGTCACTTATTTTTAAATCCGTTAAATTAATGATTGGATAATACGAGTCAATGCGTTTAGCTAAGACAAACCCATAAGATGAACATAAAATAAAAGGCAAATCGATTTAATTTATTACCAGTTATTCAAAAAATGCATGCACTGCTTTGCTTATAAAAAATATAAATAAGTAATTAAAAGTGAATTAACTAAATCATAATGAAAAATGATTATTTTTCATATTTCAAAGAGGGAATCATTGAAATATATGTTTCTAAGTGAAGGCAAATATTTCGTTATGATAGGTATACATGAAAGAATATATATATACAAACTTTAAAAATTTAAATCTACTAATCAAAACAAAGAAAAGTATCGTAAGGTTCCATATAACATTTATTGTAGCTAAGATTTACGATAGCCGCACACGTGCGCCAGACGGCATGGTTCTCGGAGATCCGAAGTTTGTTTCTTCGGTATCGGTAGTTCCGGTACCTATTCGATACATGGAACGTGGAACGATTCGGATTGACTTTTCGGATTCGATTCATTTCGATCCTACCGCGGACTCGTTCCTTTGTACCGAATCCAGCCGGATCGACACATCACTAACGGCCAGTTTAGGTGGTCTGTGCTCAGGAGGATGTAGTACTCGATTACGTACTTCTAATCGTACTTAGTACGAGTACTGAGTAATGGATAATTATAATGTTGACATCACTAACATAAACCATGTTAATGAAAAAGATATGCCTTTCACTCATAGTCAAATAAGACGCTGGTAACTTTAATACCTATACTTATTTAACTTATTTTTAAACTTCTCAGTGACGCCACTGACTTCGCACAGAAATGTCAAACTTAAAGATAAGATAAGTACCTACAAAGTATAATACAGTAATTAGAATTCGTTGATAATACATAACAATCTTGTTTATTTATTCTCTACATTTAGTAGACAGTAAACTGGAATAGTCGTAATCATTTGTAATGTTAATAATTACGAAATAACGTGAAACATGAATTTAAATTATGATTATGAATTATATCAATTAAGTGACAAATTCCAAAGATTATATTTAATTTGAACGAATTTTATTCCAATTTCCAATAGATGGGAGTAGTATACGGCAGTTCCCATGTTGGCGACTAAAATATCACACGTGTTTGTAAGCGGCTTGCGCAAAAATTTATTTCACCGATTTCAATCATCATTTTCAGCTAGTTGTGTACAGACCAGGAATTGCTTAAGCATGGCATACTCCGTTATCGAAAGAGGATCTCCTTTTACCTGTGATTACAGGGTATATATTAGTAAGTTTTGTTTTCATCTACCTATTAATATTATTCTATAACAATATAACCTCTAAATGTTACAACCTTGAACTTGCACTTTACATTTTTCTTATCATTGCTTTTGATTTATGTATTGTGTATTTGAAAGATTCATATATATTTTCTTATTTAATAGAAGATCAAAATGGACCTATTTCACCACTTCATGACATTCCTCTTGTTGCCGATGAGAATAAAAAAATTTATAACATGGTAGTCGAAGTTCCCAGATGGACTAATGCAAAAATGGAAGTAAGTATACCATTTCTATTGATTTTTTTTACATAGAAAATATTTCTTATTGGACAGTAGTTGGAACAATAGATAGGTATACTAAAATTTCAACGTACGTATAAGTAGTTACTCATAGTTTATATTGTTATATGAATTAATACCTAATTAATCATACTTACCAAACCACTTTCAAAAATACTGTAATTTTTAAGTTACTTTAATAACCACAGAGAGTTGAATTGAGAAATAATTAATTTACATATATTATTAGTTGAATAAAATAATATGGAACTTCAAAGGCCAAAGGTCGTAAAAGTAATGCCACAATTATGGAAAAAAGTTAATAAAAGCGTTAGTAAAAGCGACTCCTTTCTATCAAAAAAATGTTGTCAATAAGGGCTGTAGAAAAATAATTTTCCTATTCCTAATAAACACTTAATTTTTCAGAAATACAATATCTTGTAAATTACTCTTAATCAAGCAGGATTTTTTCCCCAAAATATCAAACTTTACTAATTTTATTGTTGTTGATACCAACTAACTGCATGTCAACCTGAAATCAGCTTGTACCTAGTTACTAAATATTGGAAAAAGATTAGCTATTTATGTGTTTTTTAAACACATATTTTTTCAGTAAAATAATAAATAAGTTTTCCATTTTTTGAACTGCATCCACTGTATATTATATTTTCAAAAAACAATTTTAGAATAATTTTAACTAAATGAAAAGTAAGATCTATAAACTATAAATTTAATAAACTCAATAATAAATTTAATTTTACATATATTCCTTCATTTTGAATTGACTTCACAATTAAAAAAATAAAATGATAATAAATAAAAATTTTTTATCTTTGTTCTACAGTACTTATGTAGTTAAGTTTTATTCAAATATTTGTTTTAATGTTAATAGGTACTCGAAACTCCTTCAATTTACCTTGTCAACTTATCTAGGTATTTAAGCATAAATAATTATTTACTGTCACTTTTTTTTATAAAAGTTGGCCTGGGGCATAGAAAATATATCATTTAAAAAAAATTATAAAGTTTGATAATTACGCATTAACTAATAACTGCAAAAGAAAATTGAAATCTATTTTTCTCAGGATCCATTTAGCGATAAAAACAGCTGTATAATCTCATATTCTCTGCTCATAAGAAAAATATGACAAAAACAAAAATCTCTTTGATATGTTCTTAGTTACCTAGGTAGATATTCTTCTTTTTTAGCTATTGTAAAAATCTCCATGTATTCCACTGAAATATTTTCACTTAGAGTAAAAAAGAGTACTATATAAAGTATCTTTGACGACATTTGAAGTTTTAAGGAATCAAAATTGTACTGAAATGACTTGACCTAAATCAATTTATTTTCATTCAATGAAGTTACTTTTAAAGTATGACCCATTTTTCATCAGAAACTCTGTATATACCTAGGTCCTACATTTTTATGTTGCTACAATTCATCTTATCTGATATCCTCTGATTTAAATATGTTTACCTATCCAGATTACCATGAAGGAGATATTAAATCCCATTAAACAAGATGTTAAAAAGGGAAAACCGAGGTTTGTTTCTAATTGTTTTCCTCACCATGGCTATATTTGGAATTACGGAGCTCTCCCACAAACTTGGGAGAATCCCGAACATTTAGATGATGGAACTGGATGCAAAGGTGATAATGATCCTATTGATGTTATCGAAATTGGGTACAGAGTAGCAAAGCGTGGAGAAATTTTACAAGTTAAAATTTTAGGAACAATTGCTTTAATAGATGAAGGTAATTATACTTTTTTATGCTATGGTACAGCGACAGTGAAGGTTGACATTTATTTCGCAACTAATCTATAATCTATATAATTTCTCAAGGTTTTATGAAGTTTCTGTTTGAACTATTTGTGCAGGAAGTAATATGCAAGTATTATAACTTGTAAAATTTATTTGACCTTACCGAGTTTAGAATGTATATCAGCTGTTTTGTAAATGTTAAAAACGAGGTTTATATTAACATTAAATAACATGTTTATTAATTTCGAAGAAGTTATCGATTATTTTTCTAATAGTGGTACAAATAAACAAAAATTATTGAAACAAAAGGAAAATAATAATATATGCCATGTTCAAAACCAGTGACATCCATTTTTATTTGTTAATACACCGTATCTTCAATAATACTTTGACACTTGTCATCAATCATTTTTTTATTTTAATTCCAAAGATGCTTGAAATATGTAATACGTATTTTGTATATTCTTTGATTTTCAAGTTTTTTTGTTTTAATATTTGTAGTAACTGTAAAGATATATACACAATTGATTCTGTGACTTTAATAGATATAAACAATTCCACCTTATAATTTGTCAGAGGAGTGAGAAACTTGAACTGATCTTTACTTCTTGTTACATACAGTGTATTGTAGATTTATACTTAAGTGGTCATCCTCACCACTGGCCGTTGTTGCCAAATTAACAACATAATAAAACATTACAAAATTGTAAAATCTAATCTATGTTTCCTTCCTATGGTTCCTTCTTAATTCTGAAACTTCCAATGACGATAGTGCCCTTCTCTTATATTAATATTATTTTGAGAAATATCCTTGAAACATGATAAACAATTTACTGTTTATACGAGGTGTCTTATGAGAGAGTGCACAAACTGATTGTAAGTAAATAGGTGAAATGTATGCAAAAATGTTTATATAACTTTAGTTCGAAAACGTAGTTTTAGGAAGACATAATGTCAGCTAAGAGCGATGCATTTAGTATTTATGAAACTTGCTAGTAATTCTGTACTTCAGTTGCCAGTTCGCAGGTATGGGGAGGCTAATCTTTTCGTGAATATGTATACATATACATTTTCTTGCAGAATTTGTATTTTCGTAGATTTCGATGCAAATTTCATACTAATGTTTGAACTTTTGGTTCTAAAAAAATTTGATTAATAAGATAACACAGAAAAAACTAAACTTGAACGAGGTTGATAGACAATGGCAATGACAAATAAATATAAATATAAAGAATATATAAGTTAACATAGTCCAACATTGATATTAGCTAAATTAAAGAAAAATAATGGAAAACTTTGAAGATTAACATTGGTTTTCAAAGTGTACGCCTTTGAAAGTTTAAAGCCTGCATCTGACAATGCAATTTGGTTGCAGGGATTTGGTTACCACAATAAAATCCATGAAATTTTTATCACACCAAGTAATTCCGTCGCGGCAACTGAATTGCATGAATTAGAAATTAGCTCTATTCCATGCAACAAAATTTTGGGAATTGTGGTTACTTTTAGAGATTTGCTTATTACCAACCTGTATTTTATAGTTGGTAGATCTGTGTAAAAATGAATGAACACTGTTGAAACCGCTATTAAAGCAATTTATTTTAAAATTTTCATCTATTGCAATGTTTTGCTTGAATCAAAAGTAATAGTTTACAAGATACTTTCGGATATTTTACATAAAATGCACAGTTGGTAACACTACTACAAATTAAATAAAGCAATTTTATCCCATTGTGTGATAATAAGCATGGAATTTTATCCCCGTAACAAAATCTGCAATTTTGTTGCCGCCCCAAAATTGCATTGTCAGACAAGCTTTACTTTCTTTTTTTATTTATTCGTGCTATATCGATATTAAACTATTTTAACATATTTTGTAAGTTTAATTTACATTTATTTATTTTTGTATATTAACTTTGTTCAGATTTAGCTTTTCTATGTGTTAACCTATTAATTAAAATTCATTTGAAAAACGTAATTATTGTTGCAAAACAGATAGATTAATTTTTTTCGTAAATGTGTCGATTTGACAAAGTGTTCATAGATATTTAGAAAAAAGTCATAAGCCCAGATGTTATGCTCCATAAAAGGAATTGACTTTCCAATATCTGTGACACTGGTGACTTATATGCAGAATTATTAGTATGATTATGTAAGTATAACCATCAGATTTTGTGATGCTATTATTACACATTCTGGAAATAATAAAATAAACTTTTTTGGCTTATACTCATGCATGAATACCTGAGCAGTATTCCCTTAAAGTTTGTGAGTTCTTTGTAGGGCACTTTGTATAGCATTTTAAACAAAGTTTCATTTATGGAAAAAAATGGTAATTTTTAAATAATAGCTGCCTGCATTATGAGAACAAACATATCTTGATATTAAATAGTTGCTGAAACACAAATATTTATCTATAAATTGATCAGCAGCAATGATTAGTTACTTAATAACTTCCAAATTTTCTAAAAAACCAAATCATATTAACCTTCTGCATATGAATGTGAAAGCAGTTACATTTCCAGAAAATTTAAAAGTTGTAGATTAAATGTATGTTTTACCAAGAAAATGTAATTATCTACCTTACATCCAATAACCTAATTATTAATGAGAAAATAATCTAATAGCGGTTTTTACATAAAGAAATTCATATATTCATTCATCCAGAAGTTAATGAATGTACTGGATATATGTTGTTTTACACAATTTTTTATTGTAATTACTCAGTAGTGCAAATTAAGTATTAATATTTATTTGATGCCATTTTCTATTAATTTTAATAACTGGGGTTATTTACTCTACCACTGTACTTTCTGTTTGTTTTACAATGAGAAGAGATTGAGAATGATAATGAAACTAGCCTAAAACTGTTTGTGTGCTGCTGCATATTGTATTATAGTGGCTATTTTTCTATTACGAAATGATCAGCGATGTCAGATTGACTTTAATGGCTAAGACTGTGGTCACAATGAAGAGAAAAAGGTAATTTGATAGTTAATAAATCAATCTGAGAGGACGAGACGATTTTAAATAATGTTTAATGATTTTTATCACAAGCACTGTTGAGGCTATATCTTTAAATCAAAATGTAACCAGTGGTACTATTCTGTAATTTTCTTACAGTGATGTAAATTTATAGTGATAGAAAAATATCTCAAGATATAAGCGTAATGTTTACAGAAACATTTATGTTTGATTTTCTGTGGTATTTTAAGTAAAACTTTGCAATATTATCGATTACATTTATAAAAAAAAATATTAAAGTTGAAATTCATCACTTACAGTCACTCTAACATGTTACAGTATAGTACCACAGTATTCACTAAAAAATTATTGAAGAATTTGGGCCAGTCTTGTTCTTATAATTACTTCATGAATTTATTGTCGTCAATAAATTGACGACAATTTTTAGTATTACACGTAACAATTAATTGAAGGCAAAAAAAATTATAAGTTGCTGTGACTGTATAAAATTGTTATTAGATGGGCAAATAATAAATTAAGAAGATTAGGTTAGATATATTTAAATGCACTGAAATAAAAAATATATTTCACATCTAGTTCTATTTGCTGAACTGTTCTTGTAGTAGATTATTATCCCTATTAAAAATGTGTGAAGAAAACAAAAGTGTTTTATTGTTTGAAATATATTAAAGTATGTACTATTAAATCAATGTGGTGTCTTCACATAAATTTTTTTTATTTTGGTTTCTACAAGGTGAAACTGATTGGAAATTGATTGCTGTTGATGTAAAGGATCCACTCGCAGACCAACTAAATGATGTAGCAGATATAGAAAAACATTTCCCAGGACTTCTAAAAGCATCTGTAGAGTGGTTCAAGATATACAAGATTCCAGATGGGAAACCTGAAAACCAATTTGCTTTCAATGGAGAAGCTAAACCAGCGGCATTTGCACATAAGATAGTTGAAGAGGTAATTATATTTATTTACTCTTTACATTTCTTCACATTTATCGAAACTGTTCAGTTTTTAGAAATATTTTCTGTTTATGTCTTATTCTTATCACGTCTCCTATCTAAGGAGCATTAAGTATGTTAGAATTCTAAAAAATTTATGCAAAGCAAATTAATTACTACTGATTTTATTAATAGCTGTTCTAGTTGGCACAAGCCCATTTCAAAAATATAATGTAAGTAAAAAATGAAATGACCTACAATGTGTGATGGAGTTGAAAAGAAGGAAAACTCTTATTTTTTATTTTATGAAAAAAGTCTTGTTAACAAATTGATTGCGTATATACTTCAGGGAGTATGTATATTATAAAAAAATATAAAATACCCAGTCGCATTTCTAATTTTTGTAGCATAAGTTGCAGACTCACTTTTCAGCTGATTTCAAAGAATCATGATTATGATTTATAATTGTTAATTTTTAGCCATATCAGCAATATGCATAGCCTGAAGGATATATGTTGCACAGTAATAATAAAATACTTATACTAATACGCGGTTCATATCCCCTGGGATATACAGGGTGTCCAGTAAGTACCTCCTAATCTCTCGGGAGTGTATACGGTAAGGTCAAAATAAAACTAGTCCTTCCTATAATTTTTTTTTTCCTAATGTGCCCCCTAACGGAGTTATGGGGTGTCAAAGGGGTACCTAGAAATTAACGTTTAGGGTTATAACTTTGAAACCACCCTGTATATTTTAATAAAATTTTCGTATGTTGTATTACACATGGAGCTCTACGATTTGATGCTAAAATCAACTTTTTGCTATTATCAGGTGTCCAGAAACGGACTG